CCCTTGTGAGGCTTCCTGTTGCCGCCGCTGGCGCCGCCCCCGCCCCTCCGCGAGGCGCTTCCGGGCGTTGCGCCGCTGCCAGGGCCTCCCAGCACGGCGGCGGCGGGCACGGCTGGTGCAGCGGCCGGCTGCTGCTGCGGCGGCGGAGACGGCTGCGTCGGCGGCTGGTAATCCTCATCGTCCTCGGCACCCTGGTCAACTTCCATGCAGTCTTTGGCGACGACACCCCCATCGGGGCTGGGCGCCTGCGCCCGGGGAGTGGGTGCGATGGCAGGGGCAGGGGCTTGGGATTTGCTGCAAGCACGGCCAAAGATGACGCGGTGACGCCTCCTGGTGGCAAGTGGAGGGAAGCCTCAGATAGGGTATGGTGTGGCTGTACTGAAGTCGCACAGCGTAGCTGCAAGCGGGCGGTATGAATGCTCGTCGGAACAAGGCTAGACTGGCTCGGCGCGGAGCAGCAAGCACCCACCGGCCCGCTCCTCGTAGGTGCGCCGTCGCCGCTGGACAGCGCAACGCTGTTGAGCACAGCTACGCCCTGCCGCTCTGAGGCGGGCTCTGAGGGGCTGCCCCCGGTTTTTTGGATATTTTGATTCATCCTAAGATTGGCAGGGGGACAAAGGGCTGCGTTAGCGAGGTCCCTAGGCACGGGCGGGAGGCGGGGTGAAGATCACCGCCAGGCACAGCAGCAGAGCCCGGATCAGGCTGCGCGGCGACTGTGGGAATTCTGGTTCTCATAGGGCACCGCGAACCGGCAGCACACGGCCCAAGCACCACGCTTTACGCCTCGATGGCGTCCGGGAGTGCTCGGCGTCGTCTGGGCCCCTCGCCGTGCTGATAGGCCACCACCAAAGACAAACGGCAGCCTATTTGAGCTCTGCGTTCCCGCTCACCGCCCTGGAGAGGGGATGCGTGCCGGGAGGGCCGAGTTGGTCGTCAAGGCTTTCGAGGCGCTCGTTGCCGGTCAGCTGCCGCTGAGAAACGGAGTTCATATATTTTCACGATATGACATCGGTACAAAGAAGGTATCCGGCGCTTAATGATGACAAACAGTGTAGCCTTGGACGCGCACAAACGAGGAGGGACCGGAAACGGCCCGCCTCAAACGGGTGAATGCATGCAACCGTGCCACAAGGCCGTCACTAAAACCACGCTGCTGGACATGTGGGAGGGATGGCCCCGACCTGCGCTACGCCAACTCCGCGGGTGAGATATCAGCGCCCGTCGTGCGATGGTGATGGTGCTGCGAATCGGCCGTGTTGGTCCAAACTATGATGATTGTGCGAGACATCTCAGTCAACTGTGAAATAGCGCAGCACGGCCGCTGTGTTGATCAGCAGGGGGGTGGAGCATTCGACGATCTGGGGTGAGTAAATTTGGGTCACTCATCAGCGCGCGCACGCCCCTGCTGGGCGCGGATTGTGACCAACGACAGTCTCAAGCATTATCATCATCGCAATTAAAACCACATCCAGGAGGATTCAAGCCGGCTGCACACTCCTCATGCAGCTGCAGCGGCCTGCATATGCATGCCGCATGCACCCGCGAGACGTCAGCTGCAGTTCCACAGACGCCGCTGGCTGTGACTGCAACGCACCGCCGTATTTCTACGTCAGGTCCGCTGCATGCGTGCGCCCAGGGGGTAGTACTAACAGCTGTGGCGGCATTGCTGCTGTGGTCTCATGCGCTGACGGGTGTCAGAAACGCAAAGCTGGGATTTAAGTTTGCACATGTTGTTTGCTGATTACTCGAGGCCGCGTTGTTGACGGTGGTTTGCCGGATGAATCAACTAGTTACAGTACTGGCATTGATAGAATTGAGCACAGCATTGGTTTGCACGGCATGCGGCAAGGATCACACCCAAGTAAATACAGGCATATGCAAATCGCTCATGCCACAGCATCACAGATAGATGGATAGATAAGTTACTCATGCCAGAGCATCACTGCCATCAGCCCCGCGCTCATCAGAGCGGACCTCCTCATTCCTAACCTTCCAACGGATCTGCCAGCAAGCGTACACATAAGGGGCAACAATATCAGCGAGCACAGAGCCACCAAGAAATTCACAATCAAGCAACGTGTAAGCTTTCTCCTCATTGTGCATCTGGCTAATCCCTAGGTCTTGGGTTCGACTCCCCGTGATGACATGAGTTCCGATTTTCGGTACACCAGGGGGCGTGTTCGCGGTAGATTTCAAGCCCCGACCCGCATTGCAAACGGCTAGAACATGGGCCCCATGGTAGGGGCAGCTCCTAACGAATGGTGACCACACACTGTATTCAATACAGTGCCATTCGTTCAAGGGAGTAAGGGCTCAAAGTGGTACCTGGTGATGGGGTCTCCTTCGGGGGGCATCGTGTGATCCGGGGGGGAGGGCCTGCGGTCGCGGACGTGACTCACCACACACGTCCGTGCTCCTTAATCCCACGCGGCACCGGTTGAGCGAGTCCTTCGGGGCATGCGAGGTGTACAGCGTAGATTCTCTCTCTCTCTCTGTGCATCTGCTGCAACATATGCCAACATTCAGGCGCCATCTCGTCCTCCAGTCGTCGCCACAGCTCTCCACGCACTGATTCGTACTTGGGGTAGTCCAATAGAAAATGAGACACTGACTCAATTCCAGTTGAGCAGACAGGGCAGCAATAGTGAGAAGTATCAGAGGGTTCATTCCGCCGGCTACTGCTGAACTTCCCTGTGTGCGAGGCAAGGGGGAGAGAGCCAGTGCGCAGTTGGAGGACAAGCTCCTTACCCCGGTTGCATGCTCCGGCGCCTGTGAGGTATGCCTTTGCATGGTCAAATGCCACAGGTCCATCACCAAAACGAGACATGTATGCATCCAAGGCAGGCTTCTGAGCACGCTCCTTGACAAGCCGGCACTTCAATACACATGGCAGGGTTTTTCACAGCAAGCGCTTGAACCGGCTGTAATTCAATCGCTCAGCACGAGTGGCGTCGATGCCCCACTCCTCCATCGCGTCATCACAGCATCATACCGAGCCTTCTCGCAGTTGCCGCATCTGAATCGCTTGCATTCCGTGCCACAGAATTCTGAAGCGGATGGTCGCTTGAAAAGTAGGAAGATTGCGCAAGTGGCCTGGAAGCATACCCAGGGAGCTGCGGCCGCGCATCACGGTGACCAAGCGTGCCTGCTGCGTGCAGTCAACCCAGGTCAAGCGTCAAAGCGATGACATGCATCGCGGTTCCTAATGGGTAGGTCAACAGGTGTTTATACATGTGTCATATAAACCTGCTTCTGGAGCAATGACGGCCTGTACCTGCCGGTGACAGTGCCATTCGCCGCTTGTCTGCTTGAGCTGCCTCGGTCACATGACCCACGCGCAGCACAGCACACCTCTGCAGCAGTGCACACGACTTCAATGACTTTGATCAAAAGCGCTTTGCATTACCCAGCATCCATTTTCGCCGGTGCACAGAGCTTCTGCAGGTGGTCTTCACCTGGTTTTGCGAGCAGAGCCCGTGCAGCGCATCTGATTTCAATCGAAGCAACAATGGCAGAAGATGCCGCCGCAGTCGGGACCGCGGCCAAGGTGTGTCCAAGCTGATCTCCGACGGCGCGCAGCCACTGAAATCTGCAATAGCGTGACTTTTTTTTACATTGATATATATTCGTTGGACACGTGCAGTGGCGCTGTAGGTGTTGGTGCTGGCACCCGTTGCATCGCGCTTGAGCGCCGCCGCCGCCGCCGCCGCCTCCCCTGCCGCCGCGCCATGCGCGTACATTGCCACAGGGATTTGACGTGGCCAAGGGCGGATGGTACACAGAGCTGGGGTCCATGTGGCCGGGGCAAGGGCTGTCTCTGGAGGTCAAGGAGGTGCTCTACAAGGGGCGCTCAAAATTCCAGGTGCGCCCGTTGTTTGGAAGGTGACCCGCCACAACATGCAGCTGCCCTTCCAATGGCACCCAGCTTCAATTGTACTGTGCGCCATATGGGACAGCGGCGCGTGCGGCCTTTCAGGCTTGGCAGGCAAAGCGGAAGTGCAGACGCTGTTTCGCGGCGCCCCTAGGCCAAGCACGGCACGGGCGTCTCTTTTCAGGCCCTGTGGGTGTCGCGCCCTGCGTGTCGCGCCATCATATTCGCAGGACGTGTGCGTGTTTGAGTCGGACGCGTACGGCACCGTATTGCTGCTGGATGGTGGGTCCGTCGTCAGGGGCGCAGCTGGGAGGCACCCTGCTGCCGCCAGGATTCGCTGCAGGGCTGAGACCTGGTGCAGGCGAAGCAGCTGTGCATGCACTGCCGCAGCTTCTCCTCCCTCATAACGACTAGCAGCTGCCTAGCAGTCGCAAAGCAGCAGCCGCCAGGCCGCGCGCGTGGCTCCCTGGATCGGCTACGGCAGCCGGCGTCGAGGCCCCTCCGCTGACCCGCCTGCGCGCCCGCCCGCCCGCCCCCTTGCGTCTGCCTACGGTGGTGCTGATTCCCCGCCCAGGCGTAATCCAGTGCACCGACAGGGATGAGTTTTCCTACCAGGAAATGATGGCCCATATTCCAATCTGCGCCCTGGAGGTGGGGCTGTGGGGGGCGCGGCGAGGAGGGGCCGTCCGGGTCGCCGGGCGAGGGTTTAGGGCCGAGGGGCGGCCGAGGGAGGCGGGTGGGCGACAGTGAAGAGGAGCGGGTGGCAGCGGCACAGGCGAGGTCGCAATTGCACACGTGGCGCGGCCTGAGGGCCCCCATTGCGGCCCCAAGATTGATGGCGGGGCCGCGCTTCAGTGGCGGCTGCGGGCACGCATTTTTTGTATACTCAATGCAGTGGTGCGCTGCAGCGGGGTCTGGGGCTTCGTCCCACCCCATCCCTTGCGCTACGCAGCAGTGCCCCCTGGCCCTGCCCGCACGCCCACAGCCGCCCCGCCAGCCCACCGCGCCGTGCTCCACATTACCCGCTGCACCCCGCAGGCGCCGCCAAAGCGTGTGCTGGTGGTCGGCGGCGGTGATGGCGGCGTGCTGCGGGAGCTGGCGCGGATTCCGTCCCTAGAGGAGATCCACATCGCTGAGATCGACGGCGACGTGCCCGAGATCAGCAAGCGGTTCTTCCCGCAGATGGCTGTGGGGTTCAGCGATCCGCGCGTCAAGGTGCGCGTGCGTCGGATGTTGGCATGTGTTATTGTGTGTGCGTGCGTTTGCGTGTATGCACGTGTCTGCAAGAGGAGGTATGATGACGAGAGGGTGGGCGCGCGTGGTGACAGTCGACAAGCAGCGTCTGGACCAGTGCGGAATCACGCTTGATCGGCGATGCTCATGCGCCCCGTCCAGCTGCGGTACCCGCCTGCGCCCGAGGCAGCCCTGGGACCCCTTCCCTGCCATCACGGTGCTTGCGCGCCCGCCATCTTGCATCCACTCGTGTCAACTTGCATGAGGTGCGCGCGAACTCATCATGCTCCTGTGTTCGCGTCCATCATGTCCACCCCCGCCACAGAGTCCTCACACACACACCCCTCCCCCCGCCCCCGTCTCGCCGCGCAGGTGCACATCTGCGACGGCATCAAGTTTGTGCAGGACGCGGAAGAGGGCAGCTACGACGCCATCATCGTGGACAGCAGCGACCCCGTGGGGCCGGCAGAGGTGCTGTTTGAGGAGGTGAGGGGGCGGGCAGGGCGCGCGCTGGCGCGAGCGGACGGGGGCTCGTGCGGACGGGTTTGCCACAAAAGCGCCTGGGCTGGGCGTCGGGGCGTCCCGGTGACTGATCGCTTGCGCCACTGCATATGCCGCTGCCCCAGGACTCAGCGCGTGCCCTGCATCCGTGATTTCAAGATGCGCATTGAGAACACTCACACACGCACAACACACATACACACAAATACATACACACAAATACATACACATGCACGCGTACACACATAGACACATGCTCCCTGCAACACAGCCACTCACACCCTCCCTGCACCCATGCCCTCCCCACCCCAAACCCTGCGCAGCCGTTCTTCCGCGCCATGCACCGCGCTGTGCGCCCCGGCGGCGTGGTGTGCACCCAGGCGGAGTCCCTGTGGCTGCACCTTGACATTATCAAGGCCCTCGCGGCCATGTGCAGCCGCGTGTTTGAGGGCGGCAGCGTGCAGTACGCCTACACCACCATACCCACCTACCCCAGGTCTGCCGCGTCACAGGGCCCCGCGGGGACAGGTTGCAGTTGCAGGATCGCAAGAACACAGGACTGCTGTTTTGTTGCAATCGTTGGGCTGTTGACCACCGTTGGTCGACCTTTCAGAAACAACACTCCCATGATATCAAACCCCGTGCCCCAATCAGCCTGCCTTGTGCTCCTCCCGCACGCGCCCCACTCACATGAGCGCACCCGCGCCCACGC